AAACTGCAAGGACTCGTCCAAGCAGTCACTGCAGGGTCAGCAATGACTGAGCGCAGACAAAAAAAAAAAAAAAATCAATCTTGACTTGAGCAATAGTAAGAACAGGCTGCTATAAGAATTCCATCTTCCTAATCATATGCTTTTTTTCAGTAGTATGTCAGGTTTGAATATTTGGGCCTGGTGTGTTTCTGGATTTGTCACACTAAGTAAAATGAAAGTGACGTCAATAGCCAGTATTGCATTTTATCAACTTTCTTTAGGTCCATCATGAACAACACTACTTGGAGAAAGCAGATCTCATCAAAATAATGTGTACTCAAATTACATCCATGGCTTTATATAATGTGCTGTACATAGGACTGATTTTGAAGCACTTCAATGTATACAGATAGTCATCTCAAGAAGGCCAACAGGGAAAAGTTACAATTGTGTAAAAACTGTTTAAAAGCCTAATTTAGTGCTTATTTGGGTTTTTAAAGCTTTAAATAGTTTTGGTCAGGTTATCATAACATAAGGGCTGCTTACTGCTGTACATGAGAGTTGGTATGGGTTGGGACAGCTTAAAAAAGCACTGATGATAATGATATATGCCTGTTCACTTTTATAATTGGCTAATATTATGCCCTACTTTGTGAGCATTGATGAAGTAGTTAAGAAAAATCAGCTACTTTTTAAAAGCAAAAGAGGCTTTCTTTCCAAAGTAGACAGAAGAACTTACTTTTTTAAAAAAGATTTTTTTTCCCGCCTTTATTATTTTTACAAATAATGCAAGGTGGTGAACATATCTAATATTCCTTCCTCCTATTTTCCCCGTAACAACAACAACCCTGTGAGGTGAGTTGGGCTGAGAGAGTGACTGGCCCAAAGTCACACAGCTGGTTTTCATGCCTAAGGCAGGACTAGAACTCAGAGTCTCCTGGTTTCTAGCCTGGAGTTTTAACCACTAGACCAAACTAGTTCTCTTTTTCTCTCAAACTTTGCACTGTTTGTCCCTCAAGGCAGGCTTAAGACCAGCTAGATGGGGACATTCCAATCGTGTATGATGAAAAGGACATCTTTTTTTGTTGCTAGTTCTAGCTTTTAGCCTACCTTCATAAAATTGACATCAGGATAAGAGAGCACAGATGGTTGAGCTTCACAGCTCAACAGGGACTTAGTCCATGCCTGCTGGTCAAGTCTGACACTGTTCATCCATGCTAGAGAGAGCATTGTGCGGCACTAGAAATGACAGATGAAGTTATTGTGTGACTCACTGAATCATGGAGGCATTCATCTTTGGAAGCATTAGCAATGTATTATTCACAAGGCAATGTCTTTGAGAATGCTGTATTTTTCAGTGATAAAAAGCTGTTCTTCAGGTAGTTCTTGTATTTTTTTCCTCAGAAAGTACCTTAAGGTATCTGGAGCATGTTGAGATTTACTACTCTATTTGAGTGTTTGGCAGAATACAGTGATGATACATATGAATTTTGTGACTCAGAGCATTGGTCCAATAGTAAGAAGTTGTTATTATTTTCCTTTGTTCTACCAGGTGTATTAGGCACAAGAAGAATTATAAGATCAGACTGTGGATTTTGTAGGGCAGGCTTGGGTTATACATGGGCATATTCACTGCAAGATGGGAGTATTAAATTTTTCTGCTGATACTACCAGGGGTAGACCATTAAAGTGAGTTAGAGAGAAACTTCTGTGGTGCTTTAAGCACGTAAGGTCATATAAGGGCTTGGCCAGAACAGCTTTCTATTAATCTCCAGTGTGCAGAATCAACAGAGACTCCCTGACCTTTCTGGATGCCTGTATCTAGGGTATATTTTTTTACTGTCAGCTTTGCTGCTATCAAACTCCATTGCTTTAAAAAATTGATCCAAAGAGCCACACTGACAAATAGAATTCTGGAGCTGGATTTTTCAGGTTGACTTAAAATTGTAACAGACACTCAGAGTCACTAAAGAACCCCTAGCATAATTTTGGTTTGAGTACATAATTGAATAAATATTGCATTACATCAGAACTTACTAGAAAAAGCTGGGCCTGTATTATTGCATATTCATATATAATGTTCTTCCCTTTTGTTATTATTTTTTAAATCATATACTACTCTTTTAACTCGATTTCTCTGCGTAATCTAATATTTCTTTGATTGATACTTGGAAAAGACCATTTTTTAAATCATTAGCTTTATCTCATAGTGCTGTTAAGCCTGTCATGATACAACCTGGTCGAGGAAAGTATGATTTATGGGACATTTATTTATGGTCACAATTTTTCTGCTACACCCAGATACGCTCCAGTTCACCTTGGTGGTTGGATGTGATTCAATCAGCAATACAGTATGCGATAGATGAGGAGCTTGTACAGCGAGTGCAAAATGATCTAACCAGCAATTACAAACAGCAAATGAATAAACTCTCTATGGCAGATAAGTAAGTCAGAAATTGCAAAAAAAAAATTGTGTAACTTAGTTTGTTCTTCTTGAGTTAACTGGTTTGATTCCAGCAGATACGACTGTACGTCAGGCATTGATAGTTCTGCTCTACAATTAAATTTTAACAATTGCTTTAAACAGAAACCTAAAATATAATGCTTCTTAAGTGAATATATACATGAAATAAGAAATGTGTTTCATTTTGAGTTTGGAGCAAAGTAGCCCCACTCAGAACATTTGATTGGAATTATCTGAGATGGCTATATTCTAGAAAAAGAAAAATTGATTTTTTTTCTGGTTTTCTATTCATAAAAAAAGTGGAAATTTGGATCAACCCCCTTCCTTACCAATCTGAAACCGCAAGAGTTGGTGGGGGTGGTAGTCCATAATTTCTACCTGCCCAGAGAAAAATTGGCCACTGGTATGATTTAAGAATTGTTTTGGAAAACATTAAAGGCATTTTTTAAGGATTTTTTTAAATCCCCCCTTTATTGTTTTTATAAATAACTCAAGACAGCAAACATATTTAAATACTCTTTCCTTCTGTTTGCCCCACAACAACAACCCTGTGAGATGAGTTGGGCTGAGAGAGAGTGACTGGCCCAAAACCACCCAGCTGGACTAGAACTCACAATCTCTTGCTTTCTAGCCTGGTGTCTTAACCACTAGGCCGAACTGGCTCTCATTTTCTCTCATTTTTTTCGAGTTTCTTTCAGTTCAGTTCAATTCAATTCAAGAATTTCTCTCATTTTCAAGAGGAGTTGTATTGTTTCCATAGAAGATAATTGTATGTTCAAGCAGTAAAATTTTGATTAATTTTGTATACATTTTGAAGCTTGCTTGCCTCAGGCACAAATCGAACAAAAATAAACTCGTATATTGCTGTTAGCTGAACTTGGATGCCTGCCTGTCTGTTGTAATTGCAGAAATGATCTGCTATATTATTGCATAAGTAACATTAATATTACAGGTAGTTCTCGTTTAGTGACCACAATTGGGACTGGCAATTTGGTCGTTAAGCAAAGCAGTCGTTAAGTGAAACTGCAACTGTGCTTATGATCTTACTTCAGCTTTCCTTTCTTTACAGACATGCAAAGGGCATACATGTGAGGATTGATTGTAAAGTTACTTTTTCATCCCTGTCATAATCACAAACGATTTGCTAAACAAGGCAGTCACTAAACAAGGACTATCTATATAGCAGGCGGAAAAACACTTCTGCCCCAGGCTCTGCAAACCACCAAAACTTGAAATTAAATGCTCACCAAAGCTCATCAAGAACCTGCACAGAGTGCAAACGTATCAACACATGGCAATCCAACCCAAACCATCAGCATAATATTTGTAGTAAGCTTTGTATTTATAACTGACAACCTCAGCAGTATTAACAATACTTGTATGCAAAGCAAAGTATTCATATGCTTGACTTCTTTTATCTTTATTTACTGGTTTTCTTTTGCAAGCTATTTGCCTGCAAAAGAAAGGAGAAGACAAAATTACTTGTATGGATTCTAAATTTCCGTAGCAAAAAATTGTAAGTAACTTACTTATTAGTGCACAATGTGCAGCAAAGGATCCATGTAGTAACTGAAGTTACTGTTCCCACATCCCATCTATTCTAAGGTAACAACACTAGGGATTATCCTGTTTTGCTAGCTAGGCTGGATTAAGCTACAAAGCAAACTTTTGTTCTGCGCAGTGTGTTTTGTTTCTGAGTTTAAAACAAATTTTTCATAGCACAGGTATTTTGTTTCAAGCTTGGAATATTTTCCTATTCTTGAGAATTACATTTTTGCATCCTATTACATTCATTTAAAATGCTTTAGATTCCTTTGTTATAAGAATTATGTTTTGTCCGTCAAAGCTGCGCTGGGGTGCACGTGCGCATTGCACTAGTAGCTTTCTTTGTTTTGTCATAGAGCTGCTGCATTCATCACCTTGGTTGCTTAACAGTTCACCAGTTCACTCTGCTATTGTTAAAGAATAATTTTTCAATGATAAGTGGAATGGTAGAGCTTTTTGAATTTTTTTTGAGCAATCACTGACAAGTAATCTTTTATTGAGCTAAAATGGTTATATAAAAGCACATTTTAAATTCTTTCTCTGAAACTGCGTTTGCTTGATATACTTGCATTATGACACAGGCTATATGCTATTTAGAAAGACAGCTGTCAATTTTTGTGAAAAACTGATGATTGGAATGATACGCAGACAATTTATACTACATGCTCTGTTGCTACTTTGAGATCTCGATTTTTGAGTTGTTCTATGAGACCGTAAATCGCTAACATCTTGGGACCATGGAGACATTTCACATCTAATGTTGTGAAAATGGTTACTATGAAGAAGGGCTTACTTACTGACATAGCAGTTGCTGTGTTTGGTTGTGGCAGGATATGCAACATGTGCCACAACTGTTACGGCTTCTCTGGTGGATGTGTCTTCAGATGAAGAGGATGGGGAAGGAAGTGGAGCTAAAAGCATCAACTGGACGTAGTCCTGTTGCTGGAGATTCCAGCAGTACTGGAGCCATTGATCCCACTCTGACTTTAACAAACCCAGCAGTTCACAGGACCCCTTGCCAGTACCCACTTGGTCACTTAGCTCTAGACAGAAGTGTTTATTCACGTTCCAGGATCAGAGAGCTGAACTTTGGAGAACTGAGAGGCTAGCCAAAAGGCATCTGAGTGCTAAGAAGAGAGCAGGCTCTGCAGCTACTGTTTCATGAATCTCAGCTGTCCATTGGATAGAAGCTCAGTGTGGCTTATTTAATTGTGCTCACTCCTTTTGAACAATGCTGAGAATAACTTGTCAAAAACTCAGCTCTTGTCTGTGAATATCCTATGTTGCTGTGTTTTGGACCCTGGATTTTGTCTGTCCTTGTCTCTTTCTTCTCCTGTGGATTTATCACCTGATTAGTAATTTACTGTCTCAATACCTGCTTGCCTACTTTAAGGCAACACAGCAGTATATCCTCAAAGATACAGTGTTTCTACAGTGCAAATTGAGTTTTAAAAAAGCTGGTCAAGCAAAATGTATGTTTATTGTGCATAAAAAAGAAAGTGTTTTTATTAAGAATTATTTCCGTAACCTCTGAAATTAAGAAAGACTTAGCTATTGGATCATTTATTACTACAGCTACATGCAACATGTTAATTAGCGAGAGGTTCCGATTACATGATGGCTAGAGGAAAATTCAGTAATAAAATGCTGCTTAATTCCAACTTTTTCATTGCAATAATAATGTTGTTTAGGGGAAAAGTCATGAATATTTGCAATAAACATATGCAATATTAAGTGGATCTGTATGTTTTTAAATTCACACTGGGCAATCTTGAGTAAATGAGGGAGACATCTAAGAAATTCTCATACTGGTTGTTAATGTGCCAAATTGCATGAGCTGGCTTCTTCATGCTACCACTTGGCCTACTATTACTGTTTAAGACTTCCAATGTGCCTATTCAAGATAGTTTGTCTGGTACTTATGTTATCTGTCCATAGCCAATGAGAGGAGTAAGTACATTAGATGAAATGTATTTAAAATAATTTAAATTAAAATAATTTCCTGTGCTGGCACATAAAAACAAACATGGCAACTATTATGTGGGTGGATAAACCTTTTTTCATAGCAGCTCTCTTGTAAACTGATCTGCATGCTCCCTATCATCCCAACTTTCCTTTGTTTTTGTTTTTTTTTCTGGCCATACGAACAAAGCACTCAACTGAAACTGTTTGCCATTTTTATGTTCTAAAGGTATAATATGGAATCTATGTGAAATCCAAGTACATTCCTGAAAATAACCGTGATTCTGGACTTTGAATGCAAAATGACTTTGCAGTATTTTGTTTAAAAATTAACTAATCTTTAGTTTAAGATTGTTTTAAAAATCCATGTGGCTAATTATGGCACCACATTGGCAATCTCAGGATGAGACTAAGGTCCATCCATTTCAGGTATGTGAGTGAATAGATCAGTTCCAAAATAAAGTTCTTAGTCTTTGAATACCCATTTATCTCTTCCTAGATTCCGTGACTGCAGAGGACTGCAGTATCTGCTGACAACTCAAATGGAAGAAGTGAAGAAACTGCAGAAGCAAGTGAGAGAGGCTGTGAAAAATCTGGAAGGACCTCCTTCCAAAGAGGTTATTGAGGCTGCCACTATCTGCCATCTGCGGCCTGTAAGATTGCCGCTAAACAAGTAGGTATAAAAATATTTGCCAAGGGCCAAACTACAGGGATTTCTTCAGCATTTCTTCTGCAGGTTGTGGTGAAACTGTCATGAGATTGTGTAATGAGTATTATTGTTTTATGACTTAAAAAATGGTGCTTGTTATACTGTATCATGAATTATTTGGTGTTAATTACCACAAACGTTTTAACATTTGTATTCATTGTGGATATTTTATCATTTATAGTGTTGTGTGTATTGTGAGTGTTTTAATTGCTATAAGCCATCATGAGCGAAATGAAATTGGTACTGTACAGATTTAATTAATTGATTAATTAACATAAGGTACACAACTGATGTATAGCTGACATAATATATACATTTTGATCTTACTTGATTGATTTACATGGAAAAACAAATCTTTTTTTCTTGGTTATATTCTCATTAATAACTTAAAAATAATTAATTTTATATACTTCTGTTGATTAAGCATGCTTCCTGACTTAGGGAGTAACTTTGTTTACTGATCTTCTCTTTGTAAAATTTGTGTTCCAGCTGTGTCTTTTGCAGAGCTGATGAATTGTTCACAGAATATGAATCAAAACTATTCTCCCACACGTAAGTGCTTATTGCTTTCTTTTTTTCTTTGCAGTTAATGCAGTTAAAAAGCAAACTTTTTTCATATCCAAAAGCAGTTACTGATCAATAAAATTTGCTAAAGGTCTGTGTATTTTCTGAATTTTAGTGCTGCAAAAAAGGATGCATTCTTCTTTAGGAACTACTGTGTCCCTTATCCAGTGTGTGCAGCTTAAAGGAATTGCTTTCTGTCAGTGTACTCTTTCAAGAGAATAATATTTGAATTTCGTGGTGGATTTGTTTTTTGAGATAATGACATCACATCATGTATTCTCATGCCCTTGTAGCATTTCTTTTCAGTTGTGAAGGTGTGTTTTACTTTGCCCAATATCTTTGATTTTATTAAGATAAAGATAGATTCTAAGATAGAAGCTTAGATAGAAAGATAAATTGTCAGATAGAACCTTCAGATATGGTGACAGCTCTAATGTTTCTGCATTAAAGTGTAAAAGGCCAGATGGCGATCTTTGAAGAAATGATAGAAGATGAAGAAGGCCTGGTTGATGATCGTTTGCCTACCACCAGCAGAGGTCTCTGGGCAGCAAGTGAAACCGAGCGGTCCTTGAAAGCTATATTGTCTTTTGCCAAAGCTCATAGAATAGATTCCAAGGCAATTGAAGAAGGCAACATCTTCCTGGAACTTTTTGAAGCATGGAAAAAGGAGTATAAGGTATAACGAGAAGAAGAAATCCCAGAGAAAGCTTAATATAAATAATAGTTACTTGATACCAGGCATGTGGGCAACTCGAGCATAATGTGAAGCAATTCAAACAAATTAGAATAGCAGTGGTAGTAAATACAAAAAAAAAAAGCTATAATGTCAATATATCAGGCATTTCAACAAAAAACAATTCATTCAGTAAAGAATAGGACGATGATATACAACAAATATATATAAAAAAGAGCCAGTTTGGTGTAGTGGTTAAGGCACCAGCCTTGAACCTGGGAGACCATAAGACTTTGGGACAGTCCCTCTTTCTCAATCCTAGGAAGAAGGCAATAGCTAACCACTTCCAAAAATGTTGCCCAGAAAACTGCAGGGACTAGTCTAGGCAGTCGCCAGGAGTCAACGCTGACTCAAAGGCGCACACACACACACAAATACAGCAAATATAATTTTTAAACCTTTTCAAAAATCATGCTATATATTCCTAGTCTATAATCATATTTTAATATAAATTCATATTAAATTCATTACATTTAAATAATATATTTGCATATATTAATATTAAGCATAGAAATCTGTAGAACTAGTACTAGCAATTCATATGTTTTATAACTACTGTTTACAGTTTTTCCTTTGCGCTGTATATGTGTGTTTAATATAACAAATGCAGTCTGCTAATACTTAGTGCAAATAAATGTTTGAGATCTAATGAAAATATACCACTGTAAGTAAGCTGCAAGGCACAAAATTTAGATTAAAATTAACTTTATTATAGTCATAAACCATTGCAAAAACCTAAAAACACTTGAAATATAACAAAAAAGTATGAAATAACAGGTTGTTGTATATATTGTGAAGTACAAGTATTTAATCATGTGTTAATGATTCAGACCCTGCCATTCATTAGACCCTGCCAAATTTTGTAGACAATAGAAATTTTTTTTCCACATTTAGCGAGATAGATGGGTTCTTATCTAAGAGTAGGTATTCTAAATAGAATAAATCTGATTGTCTAGGGTAATTTGTTAATAGCAGGGATATAAGGCAGGGATGAGTGTCTATATATATGACATTTTTTAGTACTCTTATTGCTTATGCTTCACTTGCTTCATCCAGTGAAAAATAGTTGTTTGGAGTAGGGGGTTGCTGTAAGGAGTTTAAAACTGCTGGCACTAATCAGTACTAAAAGTGGGAAACAGATTATCTTTTCTTCATTTCTGGTTGTTTGAAAATACATAGACTAATTGCTGAATCTGTGTGCAAATGACATACGTACAAATATCTGTTCAGTTTCCATGACACATGCTATATATTATTGAAATGTGATTTATATCCTTAATTCCTACATAATGTAACAGCATCACTTAAAATTAAGAGATCAGCTAGAGTGTATTGTATGTGTATAATTTTCTTCCACTATCACAATACCCCAAATTAAGAATAACATGGCATTTTTCAGGTAAGTGTATTTCATTATGGAATATTCAATGATCTATATAGCTCAGTAAATAATAATATGAGTTATGCACTAAATATCCTTAAGCAAGATGTGTCTTGTCCCTAATTCATATTTACAAATGGGACATAATTGTTTGGATTACTTCTCTAGCTTGTTGCAAGATTGTAATGTGTACATCCATGCGTGTTAAGGAGATATACAGTGGGGCAAAAAAGTATTTAGTCAGCCACCAATTGTGC